GCAGGAAAGCCAATCTGTTTGTATTGCGTCAAAGAGTTTTTGTTTTGTGTCTGTAGGCATTAGGCAACACTGAAATATTAGTCACTCATCATGTTTGTGGTTATTTTGTTGACGATGAAGATGATAATGGTGAGAAGATGACTGTTGGGAAAGCAAGGTTTTCTTATGCTTGTTTTCTGTAATCACAAACGGATGACTGAAGCTAAACCGAGCTCATGATTGTGTTTATTTCCAGGGTAAATCAGGTATTCCAGGCAGCACTGGAGAGAGGGGACCCCATGGGGAACCAGTAAGTATGCTGTCTTCTGACTGTTGCATTGATGTGGTTGTTCCAAGAAACTGCAAACAAGCCACACATTGTGAAAACGGGCCTGGAATCTATAATGACTGTGGGAGAAGGTTTCATGAGGAAGAAGCAGTCAAGTTCAGACTTATTTAATAAACTCTTTAGAAGCTCTGATGCTGATTATCACCAGTAGTTGCACCGTTCCTCGCAACTTTAAGCTCCACGCCTTGTGCCTGCTTCTTGGATTAGTCTTCAAGTTCTTGATTTTCCTGGAAATCTGCCGACCCCTCAGGGACATCAAGAATGTCAAACAATCAGATACAAGTATTTATTAGGGTGAGAGTTTTCAATAACGCTAGAGGCATGGTTTATGTTATGGGTCTCATCTTGCTGTTGGCTGGTCTCTAGTTTTACTCCAGGCATTCTCAGCCCACAGTTTTCCTTTTCTACAGACTTGAACATTTAACTGTATGTGTTTGTTTTGCCATCATATACTAGAGTTGTGTATTATGTCTGTTCTGGTATTTTATTTCCCGAATTATTTCACACAGTAAGACCAATAATGAGATTACTGTGTCAATAAGCTGTCCTCAAAGCATCTAATAATGGTTATTTTTCTTGCAGGGACTCAAAGGACCTCCAGGAGAAGCTGGACCTGATGGAGAGCAAGGGCCTGAAGTACTTTTCATTAAATATTTGTAACTATTTATCAATTCATTGATAAGTGTTAATGGGTTTTGCAGTTGACATTGCTATGTGTAAGGGGTACAAATTAAAAATTACATATCCCCTTTTTTTCTCTGTACCATCTTTGTAGGGTGGGCCTGGTGCAGAGGGGGAGCCAGGTGCCATCGGAGAGCCAGGGGTAAAGGTCAGTACAACCTAGCCATGTTTTTTTCATTCACTCCTGCCCACCACTCCGCATTCCCCACCACCCTCCAGCAATGTGAAAAGCTGTGATCTTGCTCAGTCAATTTGTACTTGACACAACTGTAGCCTTGGGTGAAACAACAGCTGATTGTCAAGTCTAACACTGCTTGCACTTCAAGTATCAGTGGTTAGTGTAAGTTTAGGAGTGTGCATGGACTTTTGAGTGTGTTTTGACCTCCAGACAGCCCTGGTTTATGTTTTGTGTCCCTGCAGGGTGATATTGGGCCTCCAGGAGCTGAAGGGGAGCAGGGACAGGAGGGGATAAGAGTGAGTGACTACAAACAACCCACTAATCCCTTCCTTCCTTGTGTTAGGGTAAATCTGACCCAGTCGTATATTTACTCCCCTCATTCTGACGAGGATGTGTAATCCTCTGGCCTGAGGAAAACAGAACGATGGAATTGTTTTTGTCTGATGGACTGTATAAATAGCTTTTGGACCTCTTGAGATTTTTCTGACTTTGTATGACTGTCTTTGGTTGGACCAAAAGATAAGGTCAGTTGGGATAGTTTCCATACAGTCTGGCTGTTTGACTGTACTGTCTACTCACTACAGATGTTCCAAGAACAGGTCACTGAAATTATGATTACAATAGGGATTTTTAGAAATTGTGTTGACATGTTAACTAAATTTAATCAGAATTTAGATTTCAGCATTTATGATTGGTCATTTGGCCACTCTGGTTAAAACAGTGGAGACACTCCTCATTTTACAAAATACATCTCTACATTGCATAATAGTTAGTTCTTGTAATCTTCCCTGAACTTTAAATTCTTGCTCCACAGCTTCTAATAATTTCTTGACTAAAAGAAAAAGATTCAGTCAATGTATCTTTATTTTCCTTCATTGAACTTAAAGAATAACTTGACCTCCCTGAAAACCTTCTTTTTTGTTTTTGTTTTTGACTTCCAGTGGTTTAACTTCTTACCTTGATGTAGTGGAGTACAGATGTACTCTAGGACACAGTGACATCACTGTTATGTGTGTTAACTGTTGCAACAAAGCACACTTCTGACAACAGTCATCAGTAATGCCGGCTGTGGTCAGATGAAATAGCCATGAAACTTTCGGCCAGAGAGGGCAGTGAAACACTGCTTTTCAACATGGTGTTAAGTTGCTCCACAATTTTCAAAAGGATTATTTCGTTGTGTATAGTTCCAATTAAAAATATAACCAGGATGTTCAAATTGTAAAATGTCATGTTTTAATGCTGTAAACACATCACATGAATTTGGGCAAATACAACCAAAACTATCTTCCATCACAAAGAAAATACCCATTTCACAATTCTCATAAAGCTGACTTTTGGGAAAGCGTATGTTTTTATTATGTTGATTTTTTTTTCATTTTTTATGACAGTAAAGATGTTTGCTAATAATGATTTGTTTGTAGGGTCCACCTGGTCCTCCAGGTGAAGATGGCCCTCAAGGGAAAGATGGAGCCAAGGTAAATACAAATACATAATACAACCCTGTATTTATTGACTGAATTTCACTCCTTTCTAATAATATCAAGCCAAAAGTGGGGTTTCTCATTCGACTACAATAATAGTGAGTGTTCAGTAGGCCATCTTTGCTTGTTCATCAAAGAGAAAAGTTCAGGATTAAAAAAAGTTAACCCGATATAACCTGCCATACTCTACTTCCGATTACAAATCAATTCTATACAATTCTGTACATAATTCAATCTGTACAAATTCACTGTTTGCAACATTAACTATGTATATACTGTTTATTACTGACAGGTGTATTTTTTATATTTGAATATGGGGGTTATATTTATATTTTTATTACTATTATCTTTATATATGTGGAATGGAGCACTGCAACATAACAATTTCCCGCAGGGGATTAATAAAGTATTTCCGATTCTGATTCAGATACATATTACCACAATACAAGAAGTAAATGTATCCACTCTATTTCACATGAGATTTGAATAGAATATAAAGTATAACAAAGGAAATAAAAAATAAAGCCACTCCTTTAAAACCTTTTGTTTGTCTGAACTTTTGACCCCTCTCTGTTAGTAATGTAAAACTTATTAACACTGAACTGTCTCTCACTCTGTTTTCCTGGTTGTCTTCCTCTCTTTCTCTGTCTCTCTGTCAGGGTGAGCCTGGTGAACATGGGCCAATTGGAGAGCAAGGTGATAAAGGGATAGAAGGAGACCCTGGGCCCGCAGGACCACCTGGAGAGCCTGGAAAACAAGGCTTTCGTGTAAATTTATTTTATGTTTACAAACTCTAACTACCAGATACAGCAATTGTACTAAAACATGGAAAATTGCTGCTTATGTTGACATTCTCATTGACTCAGAAAAGACACACTTGCACACAGTCAAAGTTAAAACTAGACCTGATGAATAGGTCAGGTGAATTCAGTTTGTTACAGAACTTTTGAATTTTAAGTATCTGCAACTGACGGGGCAGATTATCAAAATCCTCTTAACCAGTTAATGCCCTTGTATCCCAGTAGAGGTCAGCCTTCTCTTCAACAAAGATTTTTTTGCCACTGGGGCAGTAAAAAGCACTGCGTTACAGATTACAGATATTTAGGGCCGTCTGATAGCTGTCAGTCAAAGTCCCATCCAAGTGCTTCTTTGTTTTGAGATCCAGATCCAGATCTAGTCATGGGTGTTGAGGGACAGAAAGGGAGGGAGCTTCAGGGCATACACAAAAATGTGAGCTGACAAATCTAGCAAAAATTTTGAACAACATTGTGAACTATAAGTCATTAACCTCTGCACTCAAAATTGGCCACTGTTAAGATACTTAATGTCTCTCACAAGTTGGGAATTTGCTTGTGGTGGTGGGTGACACGGAGTGTGACTGATGTGCATGCAGAGACAGTTTAGAGGGGGAGAGTGTAACCCATCTTATTTTTAGTAGCCTCAATAAACAAACACCTCACATGCAGATTATCGGTAGAAGCCAGCACAAAGAAATCTATAGTCCCCACTCAGCTACTGCAGCGCACACAAATCTTAGACAGGTGTGTGGCCAAAATTTAGTTTGAAAAGAGCAGAATAAGGTGTTATATTATGTGTTTACCTAAGTTGAAACCAAGTTATTTAACCTACCTGGGCAGGTCTTAATATACCTGGGTGGGCTGCCTAAGTAGAGCCTATGTATGGACAACACTGGATGCTGTAGCACTAGAATCTGTAAGTTGGCGTTTATAAGTCGTCAGATGGACAATAGTGCTGTGAACAACAGGATCCAATAAAAGATGTCAGTCACAAAGTCACAAAGTTGAGTTATCATTTACCCTTGAATATAAGATGGACTTTTAATTCATTTAATGAATCTCCTGTTACAGGGGCCAGAAGGAAAACTGGGGCCCCAAGGCAACAGAGGACGGCATGGAAAGAAGGTAATGTCAGCACCTGTTTTTCAATATAATACGTTTCCCCACAGTGAACCAATAGGAAGCAGTGGCCAAACCCGTCAGTGGCCCGAGAACTACTGAGTCAACTTGATTCACATGTCTGAGCTATCGTTTGGGTCAAATTTCAAGGTGTTCCTTCATTTTCAGAGGAAAAAAACAAGTAATTGGAAGCAGCATTAAAGACAAATAGCATGGTATGAATTTGTTTTCTTGCTAAAGGAAAATTCAACAGAATAGATTCTTTCTGCTGCCAAAGGGGGGCTGAGTACTGACTTTCCACTTAAAGGATGGTTGCCATACTGGCTTTTTTCAGTGTTGCTGTTTCTCACCCCCAATGACGTTTTGTATCTTTTCAGGGAGAGAGAGGTCCTCCAGGTCTTGCTGGTGAGACTGGCACACGAGGGGACATTGGCCAGCCAGGCGAGCCGGGGCTGAAAGGTGCCAGGGGAACTCGAGGCACACCAGTTAGTTCCCATTCTTCCTCTTACCCATCCCTGTCTTTGAATCTGAAACTTTGAAACACAGAGAAAAGTGATTGTTTTTAACATTGTGTTTCAGTAATTAAGGAGAGCACTTTTGGAAATGCAGTTTATGTAATATACTTAATAATTAAATTTTTTAATATTTGTTTTGTTTTGTGTTACATTAACAAATCTCCATTTTCTAAATTCCAGTTAGGCACTCCCCAGTTCCCATTATGATAAAAAGTTATATCTGATCTTTTTCTTGAGTGTTAAAACTAAGTATAAAATGCCTGAGAGTAAGAAAAGACAGGAGCCAAGAGGAAGGCATCCATTCTTTTCTTCTTTATAGAGAAAAGCAGCTCCCTTCTCAGCACAACCACTAAGACCATGTTGTGATAGCTGTGGGGAAAAGATTTATATCCCCATCATAAAACAACTCTAGTCACAGGATTCAGTTTGCATGTGTGTCTGTTTGAGGCCAAGGTTATATTTAGCAGAACCAAAGAAAAAAAGCAAAACAAACAGCATTAGAACCGATTCAGAGTCTTATTTTGTGTTGATTTTCTGCATTGCATCCAGGGTCGGCCTGGAGTCATGGGAATAGAAGGCCAACCCGGACTGGCAGGATACACAGTGAGTTTTTCCTACCTGTGGTTGTTTGTGGTCAGAAAATAGACTAATCTGAGTATTGGCTCAGCACATCTCACTATGCTTACATTCACTGGGGGCCTATCTTACTTATCTTAGTAGGATTTCTGAGCTATCCACATAACTCTGTGTAGACAAACCCAGATTCCCCTAAAATCAAGAACATGGGTTGAAGTAAAAAAGAGCTATTCTTGGATTATCCCTCAAATGTAATCCTGCCTTGAGGAACTTCATAAATCCTTCAGATACAGATCTCAAGTCCACATAGCTGTTGAAAGTAATTTCAATCTAGCTAACTCACCTCCCCTGGTAGCTTTGTGCTCCAAGCCTAGCATGAGCTGGAGACATCCAGAGTTTGAGTCTGGTGGAGAACATTACACATCATCCCTGCCATTCTTATATTCCCCATTACTCTTCACCATTAATTATTCAAATAAAAGAAAATAGCAGGGAAAAAATCCTTTAAAAGTATTACACAAATAAATACCAGAGCAAAGACAAGAGGTGAACACGATGAAGTCTACAGGCTCATTTTTCCAGGCAACACCACAGCCTGATCAATGCCAATAATACTGGGTTTAGGTTGCATAACTTGAAAAGGGCACCTCAAGTTCATTTTGTCCGTTTTTGTGAATGTGTATGTGCTTGTGTATAAATGTTCTCAGACTCCTTCACACTTCACTCTGGTTGCTGAGTGATTTCTGAGTCTATGCCAAAACCTAAATCCTTAAGTGACAGAATGTAAGAGCTTCCTTAAAAGGAACTGTATTTATATCAGCAGCTCTGATTAATATGCTGACAGCCCTCATAGTGGAACTCATGTTTCCCAGAGAAACATGCTGTAGCCAGTAGAAGTATGGTGGCTTTGTTGAATACAATAATCAGCTTTCTTTTTTTTTTAGGGTCACCCTGGCAAGCCTGGGCCCATTGGACCACCAGGGCCTAAAGGCGAAAAGGTAAAATGATAAGTAATGTTAGAAATTTAATTATTTTAGTACTTTGATTTGGATGGTTTATGGTTTATAAGTGCTTCTATTGGCCATGTGGTTGCAAAATCTTTTGTCTGCATGTATGCATGTGTGATTGTGTATTTGTTTGTTACATTCCAGGGTTACCCAGGCGAGGACAATAAGACCCCAGGACCACCAGGGCCCTTAGGTGAACCAGTAGGTCTTGCTTTCCTTTAAACTCTCCTTTCTTGTCCCTAACACTCCTCGCTCTGTTCAGGTCCAAGCTGCTTAAACACCAGATTGACACTGGAAGTACAAGTTAATCCCGATCAGCTCCTGATTTTAGCACCAAGTACTCTCTCTTTGTCCTACCGGATTGACAATAATGTATCAGTGTTTGTGTTTTTAAATCTGTCATGCATATGAACCCCGATTATCAATCAGTGTGACTCAGATCTTTTCTATTCACTGCAGGCTGAGCATTTACAGAAAATGTTTAACAAGGGTTTTTACACATCAGGGTAAAGTTTAAGATTAACTTGGTTTGTGTTCTTTAACTGATCCATAATAAAATAGTGTAAGTTCACAGTTATACAGTGCCATCTTATGCACATTGAGACACATTCCCAGCACTGTACATGACCACTGAGACAGGCTTACATTGCATGAACAATCACAGTTACTGGATGTCTACAAAGGTATAGATAGCAACCTGCCATATGAATAGTATTGGATGACCAAGTTGGCACAGTATCGCAGTGCACAGCATTAGCAACACAATTGTAGACTCTGTCTCGATGCAGTCCTGACCAAGACTGGCTGAAAAGGTTCAAGGTGAACCTACGCCTTTCCATTTGATTCCAGTAAAGATCCAGACTCAGAGTTCATCTATAGAATACGTTTCATCTGTGTTAGCCTGAGAAGTAACTGTGTCTTTAGGTAGCTGCCCAGCTCAATTGAAGCTTTGTGGATATAAATTAAGGCATGCGTATACAGTATGTGCGTTCATTTGTGTGCATCTGTGTCTACACAGGGGCCCCCAGGAGAACGAGGAGAGCGTGGAGAGCCAGGGGATGAAGGGTATCAGGTAGACAAAACCATTAAATCAACATCAGACATACCACACAGTCACCACTCAGGGTGCTTGTCTGTATGATTGTTGTTCATACTCTTTTGGTGCTATTTTGAAAGCCTGCTCTGTTCAGATAAGGGCAGACCACACATGTTGGAAAGGATTACCTATTTCCCAGGAATAATCTGGTGTTTTTGTCACTTCATGCCTTACAGACACAGGATTCTTTGCGCACACACACACATATGCATGCATGCACGCACACACGCACATGCACGCACACACAGTGCAAACAAGGCGGAATATGTGTTACTCTGATTTGACCATTTGGTGTTTATGTTAGGCTTTGACAGCATCTACAAATGTGGTGTGCAGTTACAACATTTTGAACAGGCAAATACAACAAGAAATTGACTTTTCTGATCACAGCAATATACTGTTTAGTTGTCATTTTTTCCTGTTGATATAAGAAGTTTGACAAAAAAGTTACCACAACTCAGGGTCTCCAAGCATCCTTTTTCAAATAGTTAAATCCTGCCAGAACCTCTCAAGACCTTACTCACATTTCCCTAATGTAGAGTGAATGACTTTTTAAGCATCCTTCTTGTGTGCTGGATGACAGAAAAAGTACTTTTAATACATTGTGCCTAGGACACATTTCAGTCAATAAGTACTATATCTCATACTATGGTACAAACTGTTTGACCCATTTCCATTTTCCAGTCAGGTTCATTGTCATAAAAACTACCATTTAGTTTGGCAGTTGTGTCATGATTCCCCAGACTTTGATAAATGCCCTAATAGGTCACTCTTGGCTTCCAATGCAATCTATCTGAGTGCAGAAGTTATAGATCCTGTTTGGTAAGAGCCTCCTGTGGTATGTTTTAATAGTATAAATACATGAAGAACATACATTAGAAACTATCATATATTGTTTTGATGCTGTGGAGCTTGTAAGTGAGCACATTCCTTTACGGTATGAGGATTGAGAAATTTGTATATCAAAATATACCAAAATTGTGTTTCAGGGCCATTTTGGTACCATTGGATCTCGTGGGACTGTTGGACCACAAGGCCCACCGGTAAGTCAGTAAATATCTATAGTACAGTAACCAGAATATATAGTAATAGTCCTATATCTATCTATAGTATCTATCTATCTATCTATCTATCTATCTATCTATCTATCTATCTATCTATCTATCTATCTATTTATACACTATATGGACAAAAGTATTGGGCCACACCTCTTAATCATTGAATTCAGGTGTTTCATTCAGTCCCATTGCCACAGGTGTATAAAATCAAGCACCTAGCCATGCAGTCTGCCTTTACAAACATTTGTGAAAAAATGGGTTGTTCTAAAGAGCTCACTGAATTCAAGCGCGGTATTGTAATACGATGCCACCGTTGCAACAAGTCAGTTTGTGAGATTTCTTCCCTCCTATATATTCCACGATCAACTGTGAGTGGTATTATTGCAAAGCGGAAGCATTTAGGAACCACAGCAACTGAAGTGGCAGACCACGTAAAGTTACAGAGCGGCGTCGCTGAGTGCTGAGGTCCATAGTGCGTAAAAGTCACCAACTGCTGACTCAATAACTGCAGAGTTCCAAACCTCCTCAGGCATTAACATCAGCACAAAAACTGTGCGCCAGGAGCTTCATGGCATGGGTTTCCATGGCCGAGCAGCTGCATGCAAGCCTTACATCACCAAGCACAATGCCAATCGTGGGATGGAGTGGTGTAAAGCACGCCGCCACTGGACTCTGGAGCAGTGGAAACATGTATTATGGAGTGACAAATCACGCTTGTCTATCTGGCAGTCTGATGGGCGAGTCTGGGTTTGGCGAATGCCGGGAGAACATTACCTGCCTGACTGCATTGTGCCAACTGTAAAGTTTGGCGGAGGAGGGATAATGCTATGGGGTTGATTTTCTCAGGGGTTGGCCTAGGCCCCTTAACTGGCCTAGGTTCCAGTTAAGGGAAATCTTAACGCTTCAACTTACCAAGACATTTTGGACAATTCTATGCTTCCACCTTTGTGGGAACAGTTTGGGGAAGGCCCTTTTCTGTTCCAGCATGACTGTGCCCCAGTGAACAAAGCAAGGTCCATAAAGGCATGGTTGGGTGAGTTTGGTGTGGAAGAACTTGACTGGCCCGCACAGAGCCCTGACCTCAACCCCATCGAACACCTTTGGGATGAACTAGAACGGAGATTGCGAGCCATTCCCACAGACACACTCCAAAATCTTGTAGAAAGCCTTCCCAGAAGAGTGGAAGCTGTTGTAGCTGCAAAGGGGGGACCGACTCCATATTAATGCCTATGAATTTAGAATGGGATGTCACAAAAGCTCCAGTAGGTGTAATGTGTAGGTGGCCCAATACTTTTGTCCATATAGTGTATATACACTGTTGCTCATAAAGTTGGAATAAAATATTTTTTACCTCTTTCCATGAAATGATTGTGACAATGTGATTTATTCTTGACAGATAAAGTGTATATCTTCTCAAAAGTGATTACTAATGCACAGTGTATGTATATATATATATATGTATACACATACATACATCATATCGTTTTTAACAATTTTCCTATCATCATAATCGCCAGTGGTTTTTGTAGCCATGGTGGGGTACACTAACTATAAACAGTGATGTAAGAAGATTGAAACTGTTGGAAAGGACAAAAACACATACTGACTACTGTCCTTTCTTCGTGGCCTTACCAGTAGTAAGGCTAATTATGTAAATATGTTTTGTTCTGCTCATGAGCTACCCTGCGTGCTAAGACATTTTGGCCTGAGGTTGGCACAGGGAGTGTCCAAAATGTACAGACCCATATCAAGAAGCACTGTAGATAAGAAGATAGATAATCTAATTTGACAAGTTTGTCACCAAACCCCACTGCGTGTATGTTGCTTTTCTAAAAAATCGAACCATTTTAAAGGCAATGTTTCAACAGTTCATCATACAGTGTGTGGATTCATGTAACGTCTTAGTATTATTGTTTTTTTGTTGCTATGTTCAGGGATCACCAGGCCTCCCTGGAGAACCAGGCCCAAAAGGAGAGACAGGAGCTCTGGTGAGTCCATGCATATCACCTCAGTGGGCAAATCAAAGGGTAAAGAGTGTGATAAGCTTTGTCTCCTCCCTGCAAATAAGATGGATGGTTCCAGGATCAAAATGTTTCTACTACCTGGCTGCTCTTTTTCTATTAAATAGGGGTTTTACTCTTAACAAAACCAGTAAATCTATTAACATAGCCTTGTTCAGCCACTGTCAGCAGGGTTGGGTTTGGTTGGGCTGGGTTTGTACCTGAAAAATCTGTTTGCTGCCAGAATAAGACCAACCACAGACTTTGGCAAAAGCACCTTTTTAATTTTTCTCCCGTCACTAGATGAGCATGCTAGTACAACATTTTTTTGCTGTATCAGAGACCAGGTGGCAGAAATTGGCTTTAAACTACAGAATTTACAAAGCAACTACAGAAATACAGAAAATTTTCATGATTACCCTGAATGCATGATTCGACTCCTATCACACACCACTTTTCATATTGATGTTTATCAAAGATCCTTTGCTTCTGCTCTTTGATTATTAAGTACCTTGCATCCCAAAATTTGAGCCCTTGGCCTGAAATCAGATATCTTTTGGTAAAACAGACTTTCCTGAACTGACGGTTTTTGCTTTCATAGCTGTCGTTATTTTGAGTCCTCAACCTTGTCAGAGGCCTTCTGATTACATAACTTCCATTTCCCCTGTGAAACAACTTTGAGCCTCCTTAATCAAGTTCCACATAGCTTTTTGAATAGTGAAGTATTCACAGGTTTCCAGATATCGCTGACTTTCTTCCACATGTGAAACAGCTTGTATGCAAGAGTGATTATATAACCAGTTCAAATACTATGGCAGT